CTAACTGGCTCTGTACACAGATTTGAAATCACCGTCAGTCTTGTCGTCGAGTATAAGATTTTTTTAAATGTCAAATTCTGACCTTTTCCTCATGTGTCATTAGCATTTTATTCTTCTAAGGCTGATTTTTGCAATACTTGAAAATCATCATGAATGTTATTTGGTATATGGAGAACAAAATCACCAGCAAAGCAGCACAAGGCAATGCATTTTATGAAAATTAACTCCCAAGAAAAACTTGTATAAAAATACGATGAGACCAAATACGGAGCCTTGTGGTACGCCACAGCTAATTAACACGATAAGGGCTATACTTTTTATTGCTAATGGTATAAGCCTAATAATTAAACAAAACAGATCTCTTGTAAATGAGTCTTCATGACTCAGTGAGACTAACCTGTATAAAGAAATGTTGAATGAAAATTATCAATTAACTCAATACAAGTGTCTGGTTTCTCACTGGCTACTGGACTGAGCCAGTGCTTGTGAAAGATGCATGTATAATTGAAGATATATCATGTTTAAACTTATTTGAACTGTAAAACAAAACATTTAATGTTTTTTATCCAATGAAAACTTTTGATGTTTGTGTAAGTTTTTTCACCAGATCTCCTGGTTATAATTAACCATTTAAAGTGTGAGTGTGTTTGTGTTTGGCAGTGAATGCACACAGCATAGTCCATCAGCATGAAGCCATAGGCATCAACAGCATTTCTTATTTTTAACTCTTTAACGAGTTGACTGTAAGCCCAAACCCAACACTGCACATCACTGAGCTCACCAAAGCCTTGTTTCTGTGGATTTAAGTGGCAAAAGGTTGGCTATGTAGCCAAGCTGAAGAAATAAGCAGCTGAGGGTCAAAATATGACGGCTATTTTACTTTAACGTCTGTTTTCGGCTGCCCACGACTCCAACTCTGAATCTGTCTGTAGCAAACACCAGAAAAGACAACTTCCTGTCAGTCCTTCATGTTGTTTCCATACTTATTTTCCTCAGCAAAGACTTCTTATCCAACAGAAAACAAAAGTTTCATAAATAATTGATAAACACCACTCAAATATCCACAACTGCGCTACATATATTTGCATCTGCTCTGTCGGCCTTCCTCAGATAACCCCCGCCAGCAAGGCATCAGGTGGGACCCTGACCCAGGGCGACATCATCTCAGCCATCGATGGGGTCAGCACCGACGGGATGACGCACCTGGACGCCCAGAACAAGATCAAGGCGGCCACCAACAAACTTACGCTCTCAATGCAGAAGTAAACAACCAGCACACTTAAAACTCAATCATCTGGGGTGTGGAATGCTAAAAATGTACTAAAGTCACAAGATGAACACGTCAAAAACAGCCTTTTCCTGCAGCTTTAACTAAAGTCACAGCAATAGAAACATGTTAATGAGCTAATTAACTCATTTTAAAATCTCAATTTTACTGTCTGAGCAGATCAAGACGTCCAGCTCCAGTTCCCACGGCAACTCCAAGAATGGAGTCACCGATGCCCATCATCCCACACCAGAAGGTATGTTGTTGTCACGAAGCAGAGCTCTGCTGTCCTCTAGTGGAGAATATTCAGAGCAGCTGCAGGGAGGTCAGAGGTCAGCAGAGCCTGACACAAACACAGAGCAATGTAAAACTGGCTGCCACCTTTAGTGTATTTTAAATTGTTTCACATATAAATTATGTGCATGTATTTTAAATTGTTTTTAAAGCACGGGAAGATTTTTTTCACATCTTGCAAAAACCTCCAGGACTAAAAGTTGTTTCCACATTTGTTATGATGCGTGAGGCAAAACTTGGAGGAAAATTTATAGAAATGTTATCAATGATGTCATGTACATTTAGATAAAACTTGGATATTGTCTTAAGTTGTAAAGTTGCGAATTTTCCAGAAAAAAAAAATAATAATAAAACACTAGATAATTGCTAAGATCGTGAAATTATAAATTTTGGAGTAAAATGCAAAAGATTTCATGGATTTAGTCAAGGAAAAATTTGAGTTTCTTCATACAAATATAAAAACTTATCTCAGATCTTTTCATGTAAAACAAACAAACAAAAAATTTTTTAATTACATATAAAAAAATTGAATTCCTGAATATTTTCATCAAATTTTGCCCCACCATCTAGCTTCTTTTTTTAATATTTTGAGTTACAGATAGTAATATGAGGCTGCCAGAGGCAGTGTAATTCACTCACTGGCCTTTGACTCCTAAAATACCAAGAATAGTTCACTTTTTCTAGGATTTTAGTGCAAATAAATAAATGCAGCAGAATCATTCATTGTGGAGGAACAAAACTTCACTCATTCAACTGCACATTAGCTGAGCTACTAAAATAAAAATGTGTTCAGAACTTTTATTTCCTGAGTGTTGGTGTGACGCTCACACAGCTGCTCTGGCTTCAGAGCTGGTAACAGAATAGCAGCCGACTGAACTTCAGTCATTTGGGAGTTTTAATCAAGGCCGATCTGAGCCCTTTACTGAACATTCAGCCAACTTGGTGCTCCTGCTCCAATTTATGAAGAACAAAATAAGTTGTCTTTTTAAAAAAAAAGTCAACAAAAAGTTTTATTTTTATACGTTTTAGTGCTCCAGTTTTTTTTTTTATCACGGACAGAATTTGAAGCCTAGCACAGAGTTTTATTTATGCATGTTGTTGCAGTTATCAGGCTCTGAGGAGTTGAACTCAGGTGTGGACTGACACGAGGAAGTCGGAGCTAAAAAATAAATGAAATTTTACTTAAATAATCAAAAACAAATAGGTGACATGGACACAAACGTACAAAATTTGAAAACTCAACACATAGCGTTACAGGGAATGACTGGCAGATGAAGCACAACCCACAGATGAGGAACCAAACAGAATGAGACAATATTTAAAGACCAAAACTGACGAGAGAAAATAACAAACACCTGAGGAGGATAATCAGGAGCAGGGGCTGGCAACGAGAGAGAAACACCGGAGAAGCTGGAAACCGGGAAAAAAAACAGACCCAGAGAACTAAACAAACTGTGTATTTATATATATATATATATATATATATATATATATAT